CGGGGGGGGACCGCGTTGGCCCGGGCCGCCCCGGCTCTCTGCCCGCAACGTCCGGCTCTTCCTGCGCGAGTTTTGCCAGGACTTTCTGGAGGGCTGCTACAACCACCTCATGTACCTGGTCAAGGTGAGGGGGCCGGGGCTCGGGGAGGGACGCGCAGCCCTGGAGTGCACAGCGTAACGGCCTGAGGCAGCGCAGTGGTCCTGGCGCTGACCCTGTCTCTGCCTCCTCCAGGACCAGCTGATTCGGGAGAAGGCTCAGCAGCACGATGAGACCTACTACCTATGGGCTACAGCCTTCTTTATGGCCTTCAATCGGAGCCTGCGGTTCCGGCCAGAGCTGGTGTCGGAGACGGTGGGAATCCGCGCCTTCCACTTCATTGAGCAGAACCTCACCTCCTACTACGAGATGGCACTGATGGACAAGAAGGAGGCTGCGACCTGGGCCCGCAGGTGGGCGTGTGCTGCTAGGGCGCCTGGTCCTGTCCCTGGCTGTGGAGCTGTTGGTCTGCGAGGGCAGTGGGTGTGATGCTGGGGGGCAGCGCTGTGCCCTGGCCTGACACTGTGTCCCCAGGATGCACCTGGCCCTGAAGGCCTACCAGGAGCTGCTGCGGACGGTGCAGGAGATGGACCGTTCGCCTGAGCAGGCCGTGCGGGATAGCAGCCAGATCATCAAGAGTGAGTCTGTCCGTCCCCCCTGCCATAGGCTCCATGCTCCATCCTGTTTTCCTAGTTCTTGGCCAATCCCTTCTCCTTCAGATAACATCTTCTACCTGATGGAGTACCGGGAGCTCTTCCTTGCCCTCTTCCGCAAGTTCGATGAGACGAAGCAGCCGCGCAGCTTCTTGCGGGACCTGGTGGAGACAGCCCATCTCTTCCTCCGCATGCTAGAGCGCTTCTGCCGGGGACGTGCGGGCCTTGTCGTGCAGGTGGGCTGTGGGTCTGGAGACCTGCCCTCCTGCCACAGCACAGGGCAGCATGTGGGGCAGCGCCCTCCAGGCTCCAGAGGATGGAGGACCCTCCCGGTGGCGGGTTAGGTGCCCTGACTGCCCTCTCACCCTGTAGAGCAAGCGTGTGCGGAGGAAGAAGAAGCCACGAGCCCCCGCAGCCCTGACAGCGCAGCCTCCCACCCCTGAGGAGCTGGAGGATCTCTGGACAAGCCTGGCTCCGCAGCTCCAGGCCTGTGTGCAGGTAGGAGGGGAGGGATCCAGTCCTGAGCCCACCTTCCTGGGGGGAACCAGTGTTTCTTCTGGGGGATACCAGCTCCCCAAGTCTGTGCCCATCAGGGCGAGGTGCCTCTCCCTGAGGATGTGGTGCCCTTTGATGCTGCATCGGAGACGCCAGTGGAGGAGCAGCGCGCGGAGGCCATGCTACGGATTCAGGACTGCCTGCTCGGCGGCCGGGCCCCCGAGGCGCTGAGGCTGCTCCGCTCTGCCAGGTACCAGGCATGGCACCTCATGGCCAAGTGCTGCTGCTGCCCCATGCCTGGCCAGGGACGTGGGGACACGGTGCTAGCCTGCCTGCCTCTCCTGCAGGGAAGTGTGGCCCGAAGGAGATGTGTTTGGCCCCACTGGTGTGGAGCCATCTGAAGAGACGAAGCTCCTGCATGAGATCCTCTTTGCTCCCCTGCCCCGTGAGTACCCCGGCTGGTGAGGGAACCCACTGCAGAACTGGGACTGCGGGTTTGAGGCTGCAGCAATTAAGGTGACTAACCCTGTCCCCAATGCAGGGCATGCGCCCCCTGAGGCTGAGGAGCCTGAGGAGCTTGAGGAAGAGGAGGAGGAGGAAGAAGAGACTGTACGAGTCTCGGAGAAGGAGTTCAACTTCTTAGACTACCTCAAGCAGTGACCTCAGGGCCAAGGGCTGCTGCTGCCCCATGCCTGGCCAGGGACGCGGGGACACGGTGCTAGCCTGCCTGCCTCTCCTGCAGGGAAGTGTGGCCCGAAGGAGATGTGTTTGGCCCCACTGGTGTGGAGCCATCTGAAGAGACGAAGCTCCTGCATGAGATCCTCTTTGCTCCCCTGCCCCGTGAGTACCCCGGCTGGTGAGGGAACCCACTGCAGAACTGGGACTGCGGGTTTGAGGCTGCAGCAATTAAGGTGACTAACCCTGTCCCCAATGCAGGGCATGCGCCCCCTGAGGCTGAGGAGCCTGAGGAGCTTGAGGAAGAGGAGGAGGAGGAAGAAGAGACTGTACGAGTCTCGGAGAAGGAGTTCAACTTCTTAGACTACCTCAAGCAGTGAGTGGGGTCAGGCCCTGTTGGGAGGCACAGCAGGATGGCAGGACTCCTGGGTCCCTGCTGTAGCTCACCGTGGTGTCCGGGGTGGGGGCAGGTTCGCCAGAGCCCCCGTGATCCGGGCCTACGTGGTGCTGCTGCGCAGCTACGCCCAGAACAGCGCCCACACCAACCACTGCGTCGCCCGCATGCTGCACCGCCTGGCCTGCGACCTGCACATGGAGGCCCTGCTCTTCCAGCTCTCCCTCTTCTCCCTCTTCAACCGCCTGCTCAGTGACCCCTGTGCTGGTGCCTACCAGGTCAGATGGGGCCCTGGCCTCCCCCTGCCTCCTGGAGCCCCCCGCTGCTGGGGAGGGGGTCAGGCCCAGGCATCCCCCTAGCCTGTCCCTTCTCCCCTCAGGAGCTGGTGACTCTGGCCAAGTTCATCCTGGGCAAGTTCTTCACGCTGGCAGCTACCAACAAGAAGGCCTACGTAGAGCTGCTCTTCTGGAAGAGCCCAGCAGTCGCCCGCGAGATGGCTGAGGGCTACAGCTCGCTGCAGGAGGGCGAGGGGTGAGTAAGGACCCAGCACCCTGGGGCTGAGGAGGGGATCGCCACTGCCCTTCCCTGTCCCCTCACATCCCTTCCACCTCTGCTCAGGGCCAGCACACGGAAGGCCCCAGCCTGGACTCCCCAGGAGGAACGGGAGCTGCGAGAGCTTTACTGGAAGTACAAGGAGGTGGAAGGTAACGGCCTGAGGAGGGGGGAGTAAGAGTCTGGGGGAAGAACTGGATTCCTGGGTCCTCTGTGGGAGGAGTGGGGGCAGTCAAGGTTTCTTCCTGCTCCTCCACAACAGTCTCCTGCTCCCGTAGGGGAGGACATCATTGCAAACATCCTGGCCCACCTGCAGGCGCCTGGGCGCACGCGGAGACAAGTTGTGAACCAGCTGGTGCGGCTGGGGGGGGGGCCAAGCTAGCGCGGGTGTGGTGCCCTGCCCCGCCACTGGGGCAGGATGCCTTTGTTTGATGTCCTCAGGGCCAGGGGGCCTGGTCGCCTGGGTTCTTTCCCAGCTCCAAGGCAGGGCTGAGCAGTTGCAATCCCCCTAGGAAGGGCACCCGCATCGTGCTGTGGACGCAGGAGCAGGAGCTGGAGCTGGAGCGGCTCTTTGAGGAGTTCCAGGGCACAGATGGTGGGTGGGGCTGGGCAGGGGTGGGCGCCCAGTGGGGCAGCCCCCAGGTTGGGGCTCTGGCCAGGCTTGGTGCCCCACACTCACTCCTCACCTCCCCATAGATGTCCTGGGCAACATCATGAAGAACCTGACAGCCAGGCGGTCCCGGGCCCGCGTGGTGGAGAAGCTGCTGGGGCTGGGGCTGGTGTCGGAGCGCAAGGAACTGTACAAGAAACGCAGGAGGAAGGGCCATGCCCTCCTGGCGGTAGGAGGGGTGTGCGGGAAGGGTGAGGAGGGAGCCTTGTCCCAGGTGGGTGCTGGAAGGCAGGGCTGGTCCTTGGTAGGATGAGATGGAGCCCTTGGGGGCACCCGCCCGGGACAGCTCAGCAGAGGAGGGCGACAGTGATGAGGAGGAGGAGGAAGAGGACGGTGCTGAGGAAGGCCCCATGGAGGAGCACTGGGTGCCTGAAGACGGGGCTGGGCAGGGACTGGCACAGCGTCTGAGGCAGGAAGGAGGGTGGGGGCTGAGGCTGTTCAGGCCTCTGGTTTGCGTTTGGCTCCGGGAGGATGGATCCTGTCTGGCCTTCTCCGTGTCCGCAGGCCTGGCTGGGCCTCTGCAGTGGCTGGAGAACTACTTGAAGCGGACGGCTGGGGACCGCGAGGAGGACGGTGAGTGGGAGCCTGGGGCTGGGGGCCGGGGCCGGGGCCAGGGCCAGGCTCACGGCACTCTCTGTGCCCAGGCGTGTCCCACCCGGTGCCCTTGGTGCCGCTCTCGGAGGAGAACGAGGACGCTATGGAGGACAGGGGCTTCCAGGCCCTGCCGCGGAAGCTGGGGGG